GAGCGTGTTTTGTGTGCTCTTGGATAGGTTTGGCACATGAAAACAAAGTACATATACTATACTTGGATGGCTATTATTTGTTGTTTTCCACAAAAAAGAAAACTTGCCAAAGGCCCAGAAGTGTTTGGATGTAAAGATCTTGATAAAATAATTGTTGGCCCATTCATAAAGCTGCTTTGTAACTTGAAACATGTGAATTGCTCTACCTTTTGTTTATAGCTTTGTCATGAAATTTGTTTTCTTCTATGTAGCTTTTACTTAATAGCAATTTGGACCAATATTTTCAAGTCTGGATTTATGTATTTTCCCAAAAAGAGAGGTTTTCCTCACATTTGTGTTTTTTCTAACAACCCAGTTGAGGAAACACAACATTTGTCAGTTGAGAAATTATAGTTGAGGATCCCACTTTGTGGATTAAAGGAAAAAAGAAATTATCAACTAAGCTAACAATGTTTTGGAAATTTCTTCAATCCACATTTGCTCGCTAGAAGCTGTGTGCTGGTTTTAGCTGGGGTAGAGTTACTTGTCTTCACAGTGGCTGGTACAGGGCTGTGTTTTGATTTATGCTGAACACAGGGTTGATGGTGGAAGTTTTCGTTATTGCTGAGTAGGGCTTACACAGAGCCAAGGCCTTTATTGCATGCTGCCACACTGGCACAGAGATTGGGGGTGCCAGGGAGGCTGGGAGGAGACAGCCAGGACAGGTGACCCAAGCTGACCAAAGGGGTATTGCCATGTAGGGAAAGCTATTCTGAGACCACAAAGCAGTGAGTAAATATGGCAGTGATTTCTCTTTTTCACCAGAATTTTATTTTTTAACTGAACAGTGATGATTTACTACAAGGTAGGTTTTTTCCCCATTTTTTCCTTTTTTTGCTCTTTTTCTCTCTTGCTTTTTCCTTTTTTCTCTATTTTTTTTTCCCTTCTGTGATAGAATGCAGTACAAGAACTTGAACTGCCAATGGCAGATGGAAAGTACATGATCTACAGTTGCTTACATGTCACTTGAATCTAAAAGTCAAATGCTGGCATAAAACTAGAAGTAATTCTATCTAGTACTTTAAAAAATTAAAACTATTGTAATACACTGTATGTTTTCAGTCAGTGTTGAACACAAATCAGGCGTTGCTTAGATTGCTTTAAGAAGACTCAGGTGGTGAAACTTAAGGGAGAAAGATAATGCTAGATTATGGAAAAGCTTCATTATCATTCGGTTGTTAATATTTACATTCCATTTATTTTATTGTCCATTTAAGTTATATCAGATACAATGTGGGAATAAATAAATACACTTATTTTTAAAATAGAATCCTAAATTACATACTTAACAATTTTTTAATTTGTTCTTAGTTTCAAGGACCACTTGTAGATTGTTTATAAAAGTATCCACCAGCATAGTCAGGCTGCTGCCGGTAAGCACTTGTTTCCCCAAGACTTAAATGTGCTAAATGAGTGTTTATATTAATCAGTCTTCAGGCAGATCTATTTCATGCTTCCTACCTACACCAGTTTTGGGTTGCTCACTGGTGACAGGACTGATGTATTTCAGTTGAGAACTTTCCAGGGAGAAATGGAAGAAGCTGCCCTCCACAGATGGCCATCTCATTGGCAGGAAATTCATCTGGTCTCAGCATGTAGGATTTGCTGTGCACATATGAACTCTCCTTTCGGTGTGCACACAGTATATCTGATCCAGCCAAGAGTTATCAGCTTTATGGCAGGAAGCTTTGCAGCTGATCTGCACAGATACTGAGTGTTTGAATCTCCTAGAAATTTTACAACATGTTTATATACATGGCACAGAATTAGCTTCCTCAGCATCCCTGAGTGTTTGCAACACAACATTGCAGCCTGCACCCACACTAATGCATATTCAACAGTTACGTGAAAACATTTGGACATCAAGCTTCATCAGACAATGTTCCTGGACACAAAAAAATTCACTAACACCAAATATTTAATAACCCTATTTGTTAATAAATCAAAGCCAACCTTTTTTTTTATGAATGTAGTTCATAAAAAAGCACTCCACTGTGCCGCATGAAGGCGTTCAGGAAAAAAAATGGCATTGCATGGGTTTAATTCTCCAAAGACATTGCTGGTAAAGCTTTTTTAATGCTTTTTGATTTTTCAAATTGGTCCATTCTTTAGAAATTACAGATATAAAAAGCCTTAATTCCTTCTGTGTCAACATTTTTCCTGATATTCATGGTTATTTTGCTCCTACTTATTTAATTTTGATGGGGTTTTATATTTTGTTCCTTCTAGATAATCTAAATGAAGCTGTTATCTCCAGTGGAAGATGCTGTTTGAGTTTAATGAGGTAGACAGTGTTCCTTTGAAAGTAATCTGGTATGCATTAAAATGCTTTTAGTGGTCGATAAACCAAAAAGACATTAAAATATCAATGTATTTGAGGTATATTTTTTGCAATTATTGTCTAGCTGTCAATATGTTGAATTGCACTGTGGGTCTGAAAACACAGAACTAGTTCATATGCACTGTGCTCAAGATTAAAGCAAAGGGGATATAATTTACACATCCATACCTTCACATACTTACCTGTAAATGCTGGTCTGATTTTCAGGCAATATCTTAAGATAATCACTTTTTACTTTAAAACAATGTCTTGTCCAGGTGGTAGTGATTACTGTTGTCAATGTTATTTTAAAACCAATCTTACATATATATGTGTATATCTATATATCTATAATTTTGTGGTAATTTCAGTTGCTGAACATTCAAGTGTAGGAGCTGCTGCTCCTTGATCTTTACAGTACTCTGCTCCGAAGGCAGTGGAGGTATGATGATAAATTGCCTTTGCACTAGGAGCAATAAATCATGCCAAAACTTACAGATGTTTTGTATTTAACAAATATTTTCTTTGGGAGTGCAGAAAGGGTACAAAACGCAGTTACAACATACACAGGAACACTTTCCACTCCTGCATCATATTTTGTATTAGAGGAAGTTATCCAATTTTCAGCTCTGTGAGTGGAGACAAGACAGCTCTTCCAGTCCATGTCCTCACTTCCTGTATCTGTTCAGAAAAAGCACACCTAGGAATGGGCTGCACCTTCAATCAAAAGGGCTTAAGCACGTTCTTGATGTTGATCATATAAAGTAAGAGAAAAGAAAGCAAAAAAGGAAAAATAAAAAGCTACCTTGTTGTTCCTCTGACCTCTTATCTTGTTCATTTGGCTTTTTTCCCTTAAGTTGCACCCTAAGTCTTAATAGTATCTGGCAGAGTAGTTGTGGCTTTTTGTTTCCTGTGGTTTTGGGGGTTTTGGGGGTTTTTTTGGTTTTTTTTTTTTTTCAAGAACAGCCAGAAGAGGATCTGGGAACTACATGTCTCACAGTTTGACCTTGATGCCAGGGAAGGCCATGGAGCAGATCATCCTGCCTGCCATCACACGTCAAGTGCGGGACAACCCGGAGATAAGGCCCAGCCAGCGTGGGAGTACGAGAAGCAGGGGCTGCTTGAACAACCTAACCTCACTCTGTGTTAAGTTGATGTGCTTAATGGATAAGGGAAAAAGTGTGGATGTTAACTACCTCAGCTTTAGCAAAGCCTTCAAAAGCAAAGCCTGTGATGCTTCTTTCAGGGGAGACCTTACCCCTCTCTAAGAGTGCCTGAAAGGAGGCTGAAATCAGATGGGAGTCAGCCTCTTCTCCCAGGTAACAAGTGACAGGACAAGAGGAAATCATGTCTCAAGTTGCACCAGGTAAGGTTTAGACCGGATATTAGGAAACATTTCTACATCGGAAGAAATTTTTCACAAAATTTTAAATTCCAAGTAAATTCTGAATATTGTTCATACCTTCAGCATTCACAACTGAAAAAAACCTAAGGATTTTGATTAGAAGATGGACCTACATTTAATACTCTGTATATAATGCAAATGAATATTGTTTGCTAAATTCCTTGATTCTGAAAGTTACAGGTATTCTACAAAAATACTATATAGTCATAACTTTGACACTAAGACAATTTTAAAATATTTTAACTTTCTGAGGATTCTTGGGTTGTATTGTAAGCTCTTTTAAAATAGGTAATTACCTTCCTTGGATTCACACACCAAAAACACTGCTATGGTGAAGTTTGGTTGGATATTTGCTCTTTGAGGAAAAGCTTCTAACTGAAAACCAAAACAAGGGAAAAGACCAGATCAGAAGTGAGCTTAACCTGAAACTGTAATGTGTAGGTAAGACTCTTTCCATTTCCCTAGAATGCCATTTGGCAAATGTGAAATTAAGCTATCTCAGACCTTTAGCAACTGAAAAACATACACAACATTATGAAACAAAGAAAAGCAACACACCCCCGTCCAAAAAGCAGGAATAGCTAGAAGCATCTCTATCTGTCAGTTTATATTAGGTATCTCTCCAAAGAGTGCAGTCCCCTAGAAAATGATGAACTTGATACAGAAATGTTTTTTTGACCTGTAGTATAAGAAATGTTAAGAACAGAAGATGAGTGTATGCCTTCTTTGCAGTTTGAATTATTATCTAATATATTTGGGCTGTTATTCCTACTCCACCAAAATCTAATTTGTACTGAAGATTTCAGATTTTCTCATCTGTAAATAGTTGCAGATTAATTACAGGCTGAGAAGCTTTTCATTATTCTTTAATTTCATTGTCTTTTAGCTTCAGTTCTATGGTAGTATTAATAAATTGTAAGCAGATCTTTGCAGAGAGTAGGAGAGCTATTGTATGGGATACAGGTTTCTTCTGGTGTGGTTTTAGTATTAGATATAAGGAAGATGTCATTAAAGTGGTGGGGGATCAGAAAAGTGTATTTTTTATTTCTCAGACTGGAACAGAGGAAGGGGTCTTGTTCTTCTTCCTGGCTTGGCATAAAAGTGTTTACCTAAACTGTGTTTTCTTCTTTGATAGATTAAATGTGCACTTCCATGTATTATATTTTTAATGTATAGTGACACACCACAGTTTAGTGGATATGGAGACCTGAAGAAAAGAAACAAATGGAAAGCAAAGACAGTTGGAGAACTGGTAACAACCATGTGTTTCTTAATGTAAACAATATTCAGCATATATGAACCACTGTTCTACAAAACCAGAGCATATATCTGAAATACCCTATGTAGTTTAAGAGAGAAGTTGACATCTACAGAACTCATTTTGTTATAAGCTCTTTAGGGTATATGTCCAGGATAATTCTTCCAGTTTAATGCAGGAGTGCCATTGCAAGTCAATAAATAATCTCAATTGGAAAGAAAAAAGGTAAAAAATACTTTTCCTTAGTTTAAATATTGAAAAATGAGTACTATGAAGTAAGGGTTATTTATAATCACAAGCCAGTGTTGTAATCTGTTTTGCATTTATTTTAAAAATTAAAACTAATTTCAGATATTTAGATTTAAAAAAAAAACACTCTGAAATTTAAGCTTTTGTCTGGTGCCAGCTGGATTTGGATGCTTCCCAATTATCATTTTTATAGCAATGGCAAACATATTATTGAAACAATATTAAAGCATTTTTGAAGATATCACATTTGTGGTTGTCAGAAGGTAATATCAAATGCCTGTCTACATTTCAGCTGAGCAACTCTACAAAAAAGATGGAAAGAAATAATTCACATCACCAATGCTTCTGCTGGTCCTGTGTGCATGAATGCACTTTTTAGGGTCTCTTTTTGTTCTAGATTAAGAAAAGCCCACTGGGTGGAGGCATGGAGCTAAATTTCATCAGGAGGCAGCAACCGTAGATTAATAAATGTAAGAAAAGGAAGGGATATTAGGAACAAAGCCCAGCAGCCCTGTTTAATGAAGGCTTGCTAGCTATTTGAAGTTGTGCACATCTTCCTTAAAACCTCCTGATTATAATTTAGAATTATGTCTGCATTAGAGAATTGATGGAAACCTTTTCTGAATTGCTCAGATGTATCCCTTACTTTTAATTTTATGAAGTTCTCTTAAAATTTTGGCTGTACCCTGCTAGTTACATAAACAATATTGTAACAGTTGCATATGTGTTTGTCCTTCCTGAGCTGCTTAGAAGGAGCCCTGAAGTCTTGCAGTATAGAATCTGCTTCAGTAATTTTTTGACTCTTCTGAGAGCTAATTGCCAGTTTATCAACACTTTTCTCTTAATAGGGGCACGAAAGCTGAGCAAGGCTAACTGTTCTACAAGCAATTGTCCACTGCACAACACCTTGTTTTCTACACATTATACTCTCATCCAATGCTAAGTAAGAGCCTTGGCCACAATTCCTCATTTCTCACTTGCTGCCTGGTAATAGTATCAGTGAATAACCCTACTTACAACAGCAAGCAATCACATTTCCACGGCTTCCCTGGGCTCAGCTTTCTCCTGCAGGTGCTGACAGCTGTGGCTGAGCATTGTGGTGGCCCCAGTACCACAGGCAGCTGAAATACTTTCAGCCATGTGAGCCCCTGCTTTAGGGGGCCAATCCAAAATGCCACATGGGATGTGCCTGCATCCTCCTGCAGTGATTCTGCTGGAGGAGTTGCTTCAGGAGGGTCAGTGACCTTGCAGGCGCAACTGAAAGGGCCAAAAGCAGATTACTGACATCCATTACATACATACATAGGATTATTAATGTAACTCTGTGAGGTGCTGGGATTTGATAATCTTATCATCTATTTTTTCAGGCCTTGGACACAGTTTCAGTCCAGGACCTCTATCTGTCAGCTATCTGTAATGGTGGTGACATCTGTCATGGACTGTTCTTCTGTTGATGTATCTCAAAGCAACTTTGTATGAAGTCTTTTCTGCAGAACTGTGTAGGAAAAAAACCAAAGTGAAATGAGACCTAGTTAGAGTTTTGACAGATATCCACATAGTCAGTTCTAGTTAGTGGAGGCATAAGTACCACAAGGTCAGGCTTTGTAATTTTGTCTATAGATGCCTATTCTGTGTTCCTTGTTCCTAGGAAATGCTTGTAGAGAGTTCCCACAGGAATGGCAATTACTAAGTGGAGTCTTGGCAAATATTGACCCATCTGTGAGACAAGTCAGTGCCCCAAGGTCAAGCCATGGAGCTGCTGTGCTGCTCCAATGTTGTTATACTCCCTATTGGGCTGGTTCACTTGGGCATCTTCAGCCAGGCATAAAGACATCCTGAAGTCAGGATAGATGCACCTTTAAAGAAAAAAAAAGCAAAAAAATTATTATTTAACATAAAAGAGATAGCTACAATAAGGTGTTAGTCTAAACAACAGTGTGCCCCCCCACCTCTGGTGTGAAAAACCTTGGCAGACAGTCTGGAATCATTCAAAGGAGGAAGGGTTGGGCACCACCAAATATCCTCACTGCTTCAGTGTGTCACCAGCAGCGTTAACACTGACAGCACTGCCAGTTTGACCCAGTACTTCATAACTCCTTCCAAACCAAACAGACCATCCCAACTAACCTCTCTGCTCTCTTCCCATCAGGCCTTCTCACATTTGCATGCTGGTATTTTCTCTCTCCCCCAGACTTTTGTTTCTTCTGTCACTTTACAGACTGTCTCACAGCCCTTTAATGGCAGCTGGAGCCCAGTTTACTCTAGTGTGACATGAGACCCGAGTCTTGGATGACCAGTCCACTGAGCAGAGTGAGGGCAGACCTCAGGCGGGTTTACAGAAGGAAGGTTTCAGCCTATGCCATGGCCCAAGGATAGGTGAGGAGGAGTTTCTTTCTCTGGAGAATTAAATGCATTCCAGTATTACTGATTCTGTTGCTTTTCACAATGCACTGTAAATACAAAAAAAATTGATCATGGAAGCAGTGTTTCCATCCAGTTCAGGAGTGGATCATATGACGTGGTGCCAGGTTCTTCTACCCCAGATCCAGGACTCCCATTTGTCCTTGCCCCTATTTTCCTGTTCCTCTGGCCTGCCTAGGTCCATTGGTATCCCTGGTTTTGTGCCCAGGTCACTAATAAATATGTGAGACAGGACAGACCCTTTTGTTATTCCACTTGTCACTGGCTCCAAGCAACCTGTGACCCTCTGAGTGCTGTCATTCAGTAAGTTCTTACCCATCTTGTAACTTGTTAAATAGTATTTTTTTAAAACAGTAAATACACAATGTGTATCTCAGTGTCCTTTTTCCCCAAGTAGCAAGTAGAAATATTGATTGAAAATTTAGGCAATTTATGATTTTTTCATCAGTTTTTTATTGAAAAGAATTGATAGGATTCCCTTTGTCCTAAACAGAGTTTAAATAAGTTTTATTTTCCTTACTCTCAGCTATAGAGTTCCCTTGTTATCCTTTAATTTTCTCTATCGATTTTCTACAATTTATTGATATTCATTTTGCTGTCCTTTGTTTCTGCTCTCTTGAAAATAAAAATTTTAATAACAGATTTTTTTATATTAAACTGTGCAAGTCTGTGATGTATATATGTAATAAAAATGAAAATGTAGAAGTACTAATTTATGTGCATAAATTCAGCTCATTTAGTATTATTCAAAAAATGGGCATCATAAAAGAGGCAGTGATACTCCACAGAAAAATAGCAATAGCTGTTACATTCGTAATTCTTAACAATCCTGTAGTACAAGAATATTTTCACAAGTATTTTATCTTGTTTTCTAAAATCTCTATTGTCTTGTATGTATAGCTTCTAAAGGGAAAAAGAGAAGCCTTTCCACTGAAGATTTTAAACCCAATGTTTTCAGCTGTACCAAGTATTCCAAAAGCCTTATATAATTATTTTGAAAATAACTTCATTCAGCTCAGTAATAATACCCTGAGAGATGATGAGTTATCTCACAGAATTCTAAACTTCTGTAGCTCAGTTCCACTGACCATGTCTAGATTATATTTCAATTATCCTTGTTATGTGGAAATTACATACAGGGGAATAATACTTGGAAAAACTATTGACCCTAGCCTACACTTCAATGCAGGCATCTCTTCATTCTAGCAAATAATAAAATGTTATTACTAAATAAGGTGGTAAAATATCTAGACAGCTTCTTTATGTCTTTGGATACTTTTGTCTCGTAGATTTATGATGAACTAAGCCAATCCAAAAGTCTACAAGAGAAAGTATACTTGTGCATTTATGCAGATTTTATCCTTTTATCCTCAGTTATTCTCTTGAGACTAAATGTATAGTATATACAAGTTGTGGCAACTTACAAATTTGATTTTTCTCACGAGTTTTATGGGTAAGTGGATGCTTTCCAAGCGAAATAATCACCAAGAATTTGTTTACATAATATGATTGACAAATACCTCAGTATAATTCACATACAGTGAAAAAAATCCTGGGGAAAAGCATAGCTGAAGGGATTACTTTGCTGGAGCTATAGCAGTATTCTAACAACAACAGTGTATGTACAACAAGGAATGTTTTATGTAATGATAAGTGTTTGTTAAATGTTAGGTTTTGTTCCAGATGGCTTTTGGAAACACTGTCCTGTTAGACCATTGAATTTGAATTCTGCAGATGGAGATTTTTTTGATACCCGCTCAGGATAATTGTGCTGGCTAATAATTGTGGTTGGAACCTGTAGGCTAGAGCCACACCTGAGGAAGTAAAGCAGCAATTCATGCAGAGCTGGAGTGAACCAGGGTGAGAAGGGCACACCCAGCCAGTCAGTGTAGAGTCTGTCATGTGAAGCTTCAAGAGGCATGTCAGTTAGAACAGGGGACAGGTAGTTGACATCTCAGCTCCTTTCTGTAAATAGCTCCCTGCTAAACATCTGCTAATATTAAGGTGTGAATGTAACAGGAATGATGCTGGCTTGGCACCACTCTCTCCTACGTGATGCAGAGAATCCTTTTCTCTTTGAACAGTGTCCAGCAGAACCAGTGCACTAGTGGGCATCAGGAGCTAGTGGGGCAGATAAGTGACTCTGCTGTTTCATATCATTTATTCACCACTGTTTACACGGTGCTTCATGGAAATACAATTTAGCCTGCACATTATTCACATCTTCTTGCAACTATGGTGCAATAGGATCTGATACAATATGTTTACATTCTGATTGTTCTATCAAAACATTTTAAATAGTGGAATGATTGATAAGTAGTAGGTAGTAATGATTCTTTTATTCTTCATTCTGTACCTTCATAAAAAGAATATGAATATTTTAGTATTATCTGTAACATTATCTGTTCCAGTCTTCAACACCTCTTCAAGTTTGACCTGCAGAGCGAGACCAATAAAAACACTGGTTTTATGTGTCCTTTCCCACACTCATATATGTGTACGTACATACAGATGTGTATATGTGATTAAAATGTCAAGATTTTACATACTCAGCATTGCTGCATACTTTCCACTGTCTGGTTTCCACCCTGGATCTGTAAAACAGTTTGTTTTAAGAGTGATCGGTTCAAGGGAAGTAATCACATTCTTTACACAAGGGCATAAAATACAGATTTAAAACAGACATTAAGAAACCATGGTACAGTTGGAGCCATACCACTGAAGTAAATTATATCCTTCCTTGCCATCTATTTTGAAGGTTGTTGTTATTTTTTCTTACAGTACTTGATGCTAGTAATATCTAGATACTTTTCCTCTACACTGGTTGTATTATTTCAGTACCTGAAAATTGGAGTAAGATTTCTTCATTTGTATTTGTCAGAGCCTGCAACTGTTCTGCTGGAAGTCAGGAAAACTGATGTTCAAGTCTGAAGGTGCTACTTTTTTACACTCACCATCATATGAGGAACTTAGCCTGTCTCAGAGCAAAAGTAACTGTCAAATGAAGTCTAGCCCCCAGGGAACAGAAAATTAATAATCTTATGGGACATTTCTGGTAGCTCTCTGGAGAGAATAGAGTATATATTCCAAGTCCATACCTTGATTATGCTTCTTGTTTTGGGGTTTTACTGTCTTCAAAAATAAAAAAGAATGAACGTGAACATTTTTCTGCCACTTTTCTTATTAATAGCCCTTTGTCACAGAGCTTCATAACAGTATTTCCTCCAGAGAGCCTTAAAACAAAGCATCTCTTCCAGACTGAACAGCTTTCTTTCTGGTTACTCCTCATGTCAGCAAAGCTTGCTTTTTTGGCCTTTGTCTTTTTTCAATGTGGAAAAAATTAATGAAGCAGACACATTTGAAGCTGATCTCTATTACAATTTTAGCTTCGCAATTTACTGGTGTGCAGCCTGAGCCCTAAAAAAACCCAAAACTCACCAACCAAAAACAAATCAAAAAACAAAACACAGAAATACCCCAGCTCCCTGGATCCAATCTCCACTGCTGCATCTTCTGCCAGAGTTCCTCCTTGCTGTTACGTGAATCAAAGGAAGAGCCTGTAAGGCAAATTTCGATGTAGGATGAGGCCATTACTCATAACAGGTAAATCTCAAAAAAGTAAAAGTCATACTGGGTAGCAATGCCCTGTGGAGTTAGCATTTTGTTTATCACATTGTATGTTAACATACCATAGGAAGTATATTTCCCAGAAAATAAAGTAATAAGAAATAATTCCATTGTTTTTAAACTTACTAGAGCTATTCTAATGAGAAAACATCAGATATTTTTCAAGTTTGTTTCACTAAAAGAAAATTAAATTTCTGCCATATAACCATAGTAGTAGTAACAGTATTGGTAAAATTATCCAGATACTCTAATATTTAAAAAGGAGGCATGTATTTAAGTGTGATGACTAGTCATAAATAAAGCAACTTGTATTAAGTTCATTTTATTTAATTGACTCTTGAAGTACAATTTTGATCTTTTGAAGGCAATCAGATTTTCACCTTGCATTTTCAGCCTCTCTTTCTTTTGTTAACCTTTTTTGCTTCCATTCTAGTCTTTCATTTCTTGAAATGATGGAGTTCAAAGATCTGATTGTAACACTTGACAAATCTTGTGGACCAAAGCCCTATATTTGATGTGTCAGTAATTTTTAACCTGTAAAAGCAAGCTTGATAGACCTCCAATGAACATTTTTTATTTCTTTTTGCTAGTGTATGAAGATGGTAACACAAACAGTGCCTCAAGACCTGTCAGTCTCTGTAATAGGAAGCACACCGATTTTTACGAACTCAAAGTAAAATGTAGTTACTTCATGTTGAACTGCTGATTTCTGATTACACGCCTGCTTTTAAAATAGCTACAGCTAGAGACTTCTTCTCCTTGAAAATGCCATGTAACAATGCACAGTGAGTATTTCATCCTGTAACAAGCATAAGTCAACTTCCCTCTGGTGTCAAGAAACAAATGCATCACCTCAGATGTGCACCTAGGGTCATGTCTTTGAAAGGCAAAACTGTTTGGTAATGTGACAGTGGCTCAGGAAAACATTCTGTAGAACCTGCAGCTTTCATGAAGCACAGAGAGGGCATTTCAGGGCATTTCAGAAAGAATGCATATTCCAATAACTCCTAGTTTTAATGCCCTCAGTTCACTTTAAAGGGAGATGAATGAAACTTTCTTGTATCCTTTACAAAAGAAAATGAACAATCTTAACAGAAATCATATAATTCCAGATTTCCTTTGTGTATCCCAAACAACATTTTCTTGAGAGAAAGCCAAACTGTCATTTCAAAGCACTGTTAACAAATGTGAAGTCTGAATAAACATCTGTTTCTCCATACAACCACTAGGTCAATAAAACATTTACAAAAGTCAGTTATAAAAACAAACTGCACACTTCTACAAAGGAAGCTCATACCTCATGTAGTTACTAATTTTACTACTTCATGGATTTAAAACCAGTGGATTTCATGCTAGTGTAAAATGAAGTGTAAGTTCAGTCAAAAATAATAATATGTCTAGGCTATTTATACCGTGTAATTAATCTGTTTTTACTGCCCATAATCTTACTACAGCATACAGATGAATTGTACTGGAGTATGAGATGTATGTGCCTAGCTGTGGACCACAAGAAATTTTCCAGGGATGGCATTGAACACTTTAGAAAAAAGCCCCCAAAACAGATTGCTGCATGACAATATATGGCCTTCAGGTTTCTTGAGAAATATTTTGTTAGCTCACTACATGTAGTTCATGGAACCTTATGAATGTGTGAGTCACAAGCTATAAAGCCTTCTTAAATGTTGGAAAATCCTATTTATGACTGAGGTATGGATGCTGAAGTCAAGCCAGAAACAGCTGAGCATTGAAAAACAGCAGCTACAAATCACATTCAGAAACAAGGGAAAATAAAGTTAGAGAAGTATATCAAATTTTTTTTACATCAGTTGACCAGAAGCCTTGCTGCCAGATGGATCCCTTTTAAATCAGCCTTTTCTTAATGTAGTGATTCCATAAAAGCAGAACTGGAGTCCTTTACCACATCAGAAAATAAGTCGGTAAATTAGGGATTGCTTGCAAGTAAACATAGTTTTGGGTTTTGTTTTTTTTTTTGGTGAAGGGTAAGGGTCAGTTCCCTCATGCATTCATTTGCTACTTCTTTACTTATCACTCTTCTGCCATTTACATGCAGCACTTCTCTTTACTAAATTTTTGGAGGTTTTTTGTTTGTTTTGTTGGTTTGGTTTGGTTCTGGTGATTTGGTCGTTGTTGAAAGACTTTGCTGTGTCACTATATGGTATTTGAGACACTTTGTCTGTGGTGAAGCTTTTGATTTATTTTTCTCTTGTCTAGTTAAAACTTCTGGATTCCAAGAACCTCATATAGTGTCAGGAAACACAAGTTGTGGATGAATACAGATTTAACAGACCTGAACAGCTAATCTGGTTTTATGCTAAACTAGAAAATGCAGGCAACATTGCAAGAAACACTTTTACTGTTAACAACAGTGTCTGACTTTCAGCATTTCAAAAGTTATAATAAACCTAACTTCATGCCATAAAAAACTGCTCAGTAATGATATGCTAAGACTGTGAAGAAAATATTTTCCTACAAGATCTGATTCCATCAGGACCACTGCTCATGTGACCTTTTAAAACTCATGGAATAATTTGGAATCAAATCCTGAAACTAGATATTCATCTATTATAGTATTGTATTTTAAATGGGGATAGTAGCAAGAAATGCTTCTTCTTAAAGGATTTTCTGCTTACATTTCATGATTCTAATGTTCATGTTGGTTTATATTTCCTCTTGCCTTGCCTGCATGCGGAACATTAAGAGAACTAGTGAAAAATATGCACACCATATCCTTCCCTACACCAATACCCTTTCTAAAAGGATATTTTTCTACTTATAGAGGCTGGTCATTGGTAAAGAAACCTTTTCATACTGTCTGTAATATATAAGAAGCAGGGTTTGTGCCTTCTTCAGAAAATTACTTTTCTATATGTGGATTTCTCAAACGTAATACATAAAAATAACCAAGTCTTTAATTATTAGCAGAACTTGGGATCTTGCTTAGTTGTATTTTCAAGAGGTATTTCCTAACATAATGAGAGTTTGTACATGGCTGAGATCAACAGTACATTCATCTGCTTACTGGGGAACTGCAGAGTTCTAGATGCTGTGCTTTACGGTGAAAATAAAAAGGAAAACAATCACTCCTTCACCTTACAGGTATTTTTTTCTTAGCAAGGGTTCAAATTATGTCAGAGTTTCTCACAGAAAACGAAGAGAAGAAATACTGGTAACATAAGTCAGTGAGTTGGGAGTGGAGAAAGAGCCAATATAAGTCTCAGTAAGTGTTCTTCACAAGATATACCATGTACCCAAAGAGAGGCTTCACTTCAATTACTTTTTCCTTCACATTTCATCCACTGAATTATGAATTTCATACAAGAGACTTTAACAAAAAGTGTCTCTCCTCTCCAGAGAAAAAAGCAAACTGTCTCAAATAATGAGCTGCTGGATTTGTAGAATTGTCTCCTTTGTTGTCATGGAAACCAAAGTTATAAAAAAATTGAATGAAAGAAGCTGATGATGCCTCCTGTAATTTTTCTGTAACTCCTGGAGTTGTTAACATTCCTTAACAGAGGTAATTATTTGTAAATACCTTGAAACAAATGATGGAACAATATGGAGTTTCATTGAAGAATATCTGAATATTTATGGGCATAGCTGCAGCATGCTAATGCTTGTTAATAGTCTATGGATGGATATTAAAAAGTCATAAGCCCAGTAAAGTTAGGCCAACTTTACCAGTAAAAGCCGCAGGAACAGAATTTGATCCAAGTGATCAGGAATTTTTGTTCTACATTCTTGGGAATTTCCACCTTTGGAAATTAATGTCATTCTAAAAGTTAATGATGGGTATTCTAGGACTATGATGCTCTTCAACTGTTATTTCTACAAGGTTAGTGTACAAGAATCTTAAAATAAACCGCAAAAACAAAAATGAAAAAAACCCCAAAAACCCAAAACAAAACAAAACAAAAAAAAGGCACTGTCTCCTACAACAAGAATTACCTGAACAAAATCAAGCAAGTACTTTGTTTAAAAGAACTATCTTGTGGGATCAGTCCTGTAAAAGCCTCTGGGTCAATTGATCTAGCCAGTTTATATTTATGGTCTTCATTATATTTATTACTGGCTTCTGAGAAAAATCCTGAGCCCTCAAGGTTCATTAATATGGGCATGGTACTTCAGTAATCAACTAGATCAACTTCTATTAAGTTAATATCTTATATCATCAGGGAAGCAGCCAGTTCAGAGCTGCTTTGCACCTGAAATGATGAGCATCAACTTAAATCCTAACTCTGGTTTCTTTTCTTATTGATTTTTCAAGCAATTATTATGTTTTGTTGGCTACAGGAAACTTCATAAACAAATACTGAGCATCCCAGATCTGCTTCCCCTAAATCTTGCCTTTTAAAGTCTCCTCATTTAATCACATTGCTTTTCCAGAACCATCTCCTGGATTTTTATGGGTAAGTAAGAGCTTCAGATGCACGGTTTCTGTTTGTCTCCTCTATTAAGCATTCTGTCTTTATTGAAATAGATAAAACCCAGGAGATCAGATTTCAAAAGCCCATAAGGGCATTCCAGAAAACAAATAAAAATAACCTCACAGGTTCTTTTTCTAGCTGTTTTTGTAACCTAGATATAACCTTGAGGTTATATCTTCAATGATATAGCATCAAAATTTCAAGACACATGTAGGAATGAAGACTGAGAAGTTTAAGAATTAGTTTATATCCTTTATGCAATTTGCATTTCTCAGACGATTTATGAAGGCAGCAAATTTTAAAAGATATTCTTTCACATTGGTCAATCTGTTTATCCACAAACCAAAATGTGTTTGATATATGACCAGTTATAGCTCCTTTTTACAGGAGAGTAATACCACCAATACTGATCAAAAGTTGGATGGCATGGAAATCATATATTTTTTAGAGATAAAAGGAGCAAGGGTTTTTTAAACACTAACATGTTTGTTAGGACAATTTTATGCACAGCATTAAAATATAATTTCCAAAAAGCTAGGCTGCCTCTACTCTCCTGTGTGTCTTCTTTCATTGACATAACTGTTTCCACTATTCTAGAATGAAATTAAATTAAACATATATGCATAAATATATTTTGTCAATCTCAGCATATCTCAGATATGATAAGGAAGCTACATTTAACCACTGGAACATTTTACAAAAGCTTTTTCTCCAACACTGGAAGTTTCCAGGAGGAATTCTCACAGAATTCTTAGCTCCTTATGTATATCTATCTTATATATATCTATTTTTCAATACCTGTGATTCTGATTAATTGCTAATTAACATTTTGAAATCAAGGTTGAGTTTTTTCTAAAATATATGCTCTCCCCCTGGTAGTAGTATGAGATCTGAAGGAATAAATAATTAAATCCTGTGGACTGTGGGTGCCATTCTGAAAATTGGAGGGCATTAATCTCATCCAACTTTGAATTTCTTAATTTTAGGCACCTTGTTTAAGTTAATTGTTTAGGAATGGTCTATATCCTGTAAAGAAAATCAGCCGTGCTAGAGATGGAGTCATCCTGCTTTAAGACAGGTGTCTAAGGCAGGAGAGACAGTGTGGTCATAGCTCGATGAGAAACAATAAACAGATGATGCCTAATTTTCTATTAGTAAAACAAAGGACAATAAAACTAATTTTGTGATGAAGTGCTCATCACCATACTTTTTCAACACCATGAAATTCAGATTCTTGACAGTCTCTTTCTGTTCTGTACCCCAGCACTAGAATCAGTACTTTACTGAGCTCCATAGCCCCTGTCCACTGGTGCTGCTCCCAGCTCCACCTTTGTGGTGGCGTGTGGGGCCACACCTGCCTCTGCCTGGTGGCAAGACAGAAACTCACTAGAGGCAGTGGGATAGCAAAAATGCTGCATAGAGGGGTAGGATAGCAAAAATTCATCTTCTAAGCAGATAATTGTAGCCCTGAAGAGGAGAGGAGAAATTATGGAAAGGCCAAGAGAAATCCTGAAGGACAAAAAGGCTGAAGGGAAGTAAAGAAACAGGAAAAGGACAGGTGTAGCAGAAGAAACAATATGTGAGACTTACTTGTGTATGTACAAAACCAAGGTGATATATAAAGAACCACAAAGGAAGAGACTGTTGAACAAATGAAGAAGCATAATTCAGATTTGATGATGGACTTGAGTCATCTTTGAACATCCTGGCTCATGAATAGTTAAACTGAATATCTTGAATAACCTATAGAGTGACATTTGTTTCCATAAATTATTCACTGAATACCTACAAATAACAAACTCATTTGTTGTAGCCGGCTTTCAAGCAAAAAAGTGTGAATTTTTCAATACATTATTCAAACAGCTGGAGTTCAGATATGTTTTTATGTATGCCAGCCACAAAAACACTTGAGGTGTTATTAGATGGCAAGTGTGATAAACTGGGCATTTCCTTTGCATCAAACGCTATTGATTGTGAGCTCAGAGAGCCATTGTCTCCTGGAAACATGGAGTATTTGAGTTTCTGCCAGTTTCTTGTTGCTGAGCAACAGCATTTGTCCCTTCCAGTTTCTTGCCTGTATACAGCTTGTATATATGGATTAAATGGAATGTGGAACAAAAACTATCTTAACTATTTAGTGACTTTATAAAATATCTCCCCCGTTTAAAAAGACCTGCCAAGCAGTAAATTGTCGTGGTTTTGCTGCGCAGTTTGGGTTAGAGAGAGGCCCCAGGGAGCAGCCCGAGCAGCTCCAGGGAGTGGGAGCCTGGGGACCCTGTGGCAGATGGCCAGGTTCAGGGCTGGGGCTCAGCCCCACGCCCGGGAAGGAGCGGGACAGGCCGAGGGGCTCCACCAGGCACAGCTGTGGGCACGAGCCGAGGTGATGGGCATGGGGCTGAGCCCTGGCAGAAGGGTCCAAGGGTCAGCCACAGCATCAGGCCCACACAGGCAAGGCCACGGGGTTGACAGCAGGCTGAGCCAGGCTGGAGCTGGGCCCATGGGGCTGGGCTGGAGGGGGTATGGAATCACTGTGGGATGGAATGATGGCCCTGTGGGGGCTGTCGTGGGGTCCTGGGACTATGGCAGCATGGGGAAGCTGATATGGGGTCTCAGGCCATGGACATGTCAGATTCCTGGAGCCCCAGGAGTCACGAGGCCTTGGGGCCTGACATGAGGCCCTTCACCATGGGCAGGTTAGGGAAGCCCTGGGCCCCCCAGGGTTGGCTAATATCTCTAGTCAGAGTCACACATTCCCACTGCTGTGTCTAGATTATTTTATAATGCATAATTTCTGGAAAAAACTAAAGACCTTTCACTACATTTTATGCAATGTCTATTTTAAAAAAAAATTCATTATAACTGTGCAAACAAAAAAATAAAAGAGTATTCATTAGCAAAGAGAATTTTCTCCAAAGCTTGGACTGTCAGCAGCATCTCACCATCATGGAAAATGAGAGCATCTTTGTGAGATCCAAAGATAGGTAAAAGTGGGATTCACATAACAGTGCTAAAGATTATTTTGACCTTTTCATCAGTCACTTTGAAATGTCAGATATTTTCAACTGACTCCACAGAGCACCTTTAGCTCCATTAAACACCTGTTTTCTATCTGATATTTTAAATTTTAATAATGAGTTCAAATAGCTGCATGTTAATTAACACAAATAAAAGTGATTTCTATTGCATTTCCAAATACAAAATGTATAGGTAAGTTCAAATTAATTTCTTTTAAAGTATGAAGTCATCACTGAACTCGATTTCCAAATGTGTAAGCTCCTATGAGGTCAACGGTACTCAATTAGACCCTTTTTTGGACCCAATGATAAAGACTGATAGCAAATGTTAAGTGTGGTAAGAAACAGTAACAGAGGATTGAGTTACTCATATCTGAAGGTGCCTTGGTCCAACTCTAACTCTTTTCTAGCAGTTCTAACTGAAGCTTTAGCTCCTGTCAGCAATGCCACTTTTGCCTGCCAGCTGGAAAAGTAACCAGTAGTAGAGCAGGTGGAGATTTTTCTAGAGGTTATCTGATTTGATAACTAGAGGGAAACATTGGCTTAAACTGAAGTTCTGAAGAGCTATTACAGATTTTCACTCAGAGGTAAGTGCTGGCCATCACTTTCTCTCTACACTCAGGGCTGTCTACATCAGTACCAAACTGGAGTTTGCTGTCTTCTTCAAGAACAGTATAATGTGTACAGGAGATGTAATGTTACAGGATGACTGTCACAGTAAGTTAGGTAAGAGAAGTTTAGTGAGCTGCAAAGTTTTCTATGAAAATGCCTTTTCAGGATCAGAACAAGAAATTGCAAAGGATATGTGAAAACCCATGTTTAAACAAATGAAGAATACTTGCTTTTTAATTTCAGGAAACCTGCAAGTCTTCTGTTCTTCCATACTGCCTCACTGAGTAAATGAAAAAAGATATGAAGGAGTTTTTCATATGCAGTTAATGCCTGAAAATTATTTCTATATAAAAGGTCACAGAAACTTAAAACAAATAATTATTCATTATATGCATCTGGATTGCTCAGCCTCTCTCGACACAAATATATTTTATTTGGATATATCAGAGAACCCCAAATATTTGAACTATTTCAGACTTTCATGGTTATTGTAAAACTTCCTTCCCCCTCTTCTAGCCCAGAGCCAAGATTAGCCAAGATTAATCTCTGCATCTCTTATCATTTTCTCTGAGACGAAGAAAGCACAACTAGATCTTCTCAATCTTCTCAATAAAGCCGGTAATTGAAGGTTGAGAGTCTAAGAATGTTGTAAAACAGATCAGGAAATTAAGCTTTGTTTTTTATTTTATTTGATGATGTATTCAATCATGAATTTACCTATTGTGTTAGATAAAGGTTTCAAAGAGTTGAATTTGGATTTACCACAAAAAATTAATGGGATATACATCTTTCCTCCAGTCCCTCATAGTAATTTTTTTTTTATTAAATTGCATAAATATCCTGTTCATATGGCCTAGAATTTCCTCTAAAGCACCACAGGATCTGCATTAAAGGTGGTATTTTAACTTGTGAGGGCATCACCAATTATTCAAGGAGAGCTGCAGTGCCACTTACCTGACACAGTCCACACTTGGAACCAAAGTCATTTTAGTTTGCCTCAGCTGAGTATGAGATGTTCTAAGCTCTGTATTCAGAAAGGCATCCATTTAATGGTCTTATGAAACAAATATTCAGATGTCTTTGCAAAGCCAACTGTTTTGTGGCAGTATAAATGGGAGTAATGATCAGTGCTGAATATTTTGGTACAGAGCAGGCATAATTTTACTTAGGTTTTGGAGACAATATAATAAAATTCTCTTCATAAACAGAGAAGACTCCAAGTTTGAAAATCCTGAAGCTGTATTACTCCAATTGCAGCTGTAGGAAGTCTATTTTGCAACTGTACTTCTGCTGAAAGGCTATCTAAATTCCAGCCCCAAAATTTATTCATTGCCAGTTTGTTTCTACTTGTTTTTATGCCAACATTATCCCTTACATTAAATAGTTCTTATTCCTCTCCCTTGTTTATCCCCAAAGTGTTTGTAGAGAGTGACTATATCTCTCTCAGCTTTTGTTTTGCTAGGCTAAACAAGGCAAGCTCTGTTGACAGATGGTTGGCCAGAACCCAGCCAGGCGAAGCTAACACACCAGCTTTGGAAAGCCAGGAGCAATCACTCTTTGGAGGTTACCTCCAGACTCTAATGCAGCACATCAGAGATCTGAGAGCAGATAAACTTTCTCTTAGGCTGTCACTTCTTTCCATTCCCCAATTACTAATACTCCATGAACTAATTGCCTTTTAAAAATAATTTTCAGTAAGAAGCTCAAATCTTTTTATAGACATGGAATTTTAATTGTAGCCTGAGTTGACATAACTGGACTGCTTTTGATCTCATTAATTTGTACAGTAAAAGAAATGAAAGATGACGAGTCTGAAGACAGAACAATAAAAAGCCATCATGGATTTGAGATATGGCAAAGTCCTTGCAATCAGTGTTCTTGCTTCCTTTATTCAAAATAAGTTTTCCTATATATACCTGTGTGGCAGTCATACTGATGCCTGCTGTGTGTACACATTTTCTCCTGATCCTGAAAAAGAGCTCTCCGAATGCTTGTGGAAAACCTTAAATGTTAAAATTATTGATAAATCCTGGGTATTTCCCCCTCTCATTGCTTCAATATGGAGCTGGCAAAAGCAGTTATGTTTCTTCTTTCAAGCCACAAATGTCGTGGATAAAATTCAAACTAAGGTACCTATGTTCTGCCAATACAGGAGAGAAATTGCTTCTTTTAGATTTATTCTTCTTCTCCATGTTCAAAATATTGTGCAGTCATGAAGTGGCTTCTTACCAACAGTGCTGGCTGCATGTCAACATGGGTGAGGTAATCCCTACATATAGTGCTCAATCTTAGGAACTGGCTAATCTCCAAACTGTAAAAATGACTAGGTTGGGCTGCTGAAATAGGCTTTGAAATCTTGTTCCTGTAAATCTAATACAGGAAAAATATGAACTATGCCACCTATGGATAGTTTTAAGATTAAAAATCTGGGCAGGAATTTTCCCATCTACATTAATTGCTTTTAAAGAAGACAAACCAAAAAGCAATATTTATCAACACAAATGATCCATAATTGGCTGTTTCCCTCCTCCCCTGCTGTCAGTTCCTGCCATACTCCCATTTCCTCTCCTCTCCTCTCCTCTCCTCTCCTCATGCAATACATTCATTTCAATGTGTTTGCTCAAAATCTTTAGTGCATTTAGTGCTTTAGTGATTGTAGGGGTAGGGACTAGATAAAGAGTACTGCAGGAAAGGCAGCTGCTACCAGTGGAAAGGGAGAGAGGAAAGGGAAAAAATAGGATAGGAGAAAAGGAAGACAAAATATCCCCATCAAACAACATTCCATCAGTGTCTCCAGAGCAGTGATACTGATGGCCTGAAGTGAGTGCCACAAGAAACTGGGACTTGACAGATGTACCAAAAAAAGATCCATTAAATATAAGAGCAGTGCTGAAATACCTGTGTACTCATTGTCATGGACAGCAAGGGATCCAAAATGATTCCTTACATACAGGTATTCACATTGCCACAATACACTTACTATTTCTTCTTTAGTGCTTCTCTTTGCCTGACTGGATTTCCATATGCTGTACTCCACCTTACTGCCATATGGTATAATGAACTGTAATAGCTTCTACATAAAGTTGTAATCAAAGCATTCTTTAACAGCTGAAGGATCACATTGCAGCCTTTTCGTTGGAAGTAGTCCTTTCAGTTTCTGGATGATCGTCTCATATGATTTTAATTCCATTTACCTTGGTAGAAAGCATGCTGTTTTCTTTCCATTTATATTTTGAGTGGTTCCTTGAAAATATTTAGCTCTCAAAAGTATTCTTCTTCTTTGATTTTTTTTCTTGGCTGTTTCTTGGCTGCTGGTGGCTGTGTTACAGTTATTAGAAATGTTTAATATTTGTATATTTGTTCTTCACAATAAAAAGATTAGCAATTTACTAAAATATTTCAGTGTTTAATGTTCTCCAGTGAAGAATTTTTATGATTTTAGCGACTGATTCTTGATTATTAGCTTTTACACAAACTTTTTTTTTTCTATTTTTAAATTAATGAAACTCCAGGAAAATAATGAATAAATGACTGATGAAATGGGAAAACCTATTTGGTTTTTTTTTGGGTTTTTTTGGAAGGAGGGAGGGTGAGGGGACTGTTGTATTTTTCTTTCTTTAAAACTTGCTCACAGCTCTGTACACTTTTAGTACACATTTTATCATGTGTGTATGTGTTAGCTCTATTTCTTGAACAGGTAACAGCCAGAGGCAGAATACTTTCCAGGGGCTACCTAAAGGGGATTTCAACCTGTTTAATAGTGGGTTAGGTGTTTCTTTATGCAAGAATGCAAAGTCATATTCTGTTTTGATAGTTAAAAGCCTATGTATACATTCATTACTGTATTAATTCAAGCAGCAGATATCACAGAAAAACAATTAGCTCCCAGTGTCACATGCAAGCTTATGTTACCACTTTAATATCTGTAGGTAACTGAAAGGTTTAAAATTCTGAAATGGTTGTTGTAAATGCCAAACCCAAACTAATGATTTTCCTGTCTACAATGAGTTTTCAGCACATGGACAGGAGTGTTTACTGGATTTCAAAAACAATTACAAACAAATCTGTCTTTTAATAGCAAGCACTCTGAAATCAGAACTCCTTTTGCTCCAATAAATGTGTGTATACCACAAAAACTCCCTTGAGGAGACTGGATTTAAGCAACTGGTGCACAGGAGACAGGGACTGAGTTCTGAGGAGTAGATCTATACTTAATGTTCAAGAAATGAGACACCAGCTGTATTTAAGGAAGTTAAAAGGGTAACTTCCACTATTGTAACTGTGTTGAGGGCTGCTCAATATGAAAAAAACCAAACAAGTCCGCAAAGTAGATAAATTGATTCCACTGTTGGAGGATATATTTTTGGTGGTTTGGTTTTAAATCTGATTTTCCATATTTTACAAGTTAAAGACATTTTCTAGCCACTAAAGACGTACCACAAAGCTGTTAATACTTGGACATTCAATGCTGTAGTGTTTAGCAATACTAGAACTTTTAAGAAACATGCTTAACTGTAGCTGAAAAAATCTGCTAAAATATGTACTTGCAAACAGAGAATTTATATTCAGCACTGCCTCCATCTCTATTATATGAATCAGAGCATGGTACAAAATGCCTGCAAGTTGCCTGTTTGCAGCATAAGATTTTCAACTGTTTATTTTGAGTGTAACACTGATTGTGAAGATGTTTGATTCATTTTCCATAAGTGAACAAATATATCTTGAGGAAGAGAGGAACAGTATGAAGACAGCATTGCAGCATATTCCTTGGCAGATGTTGTTATGTGATAGACATTGGTCCACAGGGAAATCCACAGAAATTTGTGCACCTAAACAATGCCTTATGAGAGACAGAAATGTTCCTGCTGAGCAGTAGTTATATCGTTTATGTGGAAACCTGGTTCTCACAGATAAATATATCATTAACAAGAAATAAAAGGTTGTACTGATGACTTAACTTGAGAATATATTACTTCAGAAATCAAAAATCAACATGCTGTCAAAGACACAAAGCCTTAGTTACATTGCTGCTAAGCATACGTTCTCCAGAAGGAGCTGGCTGTTCTAATGATTGCATCTGGCATTTGGTTTAAAGCCTTTCATGCTTTTTGAATTATCTGGTTATTAAGGTACACACAATGGCTCTTAAAACTTATACTTACAAAGATAGAAACTAATGAACCTCTTGAAGCACTCATCTCTGATAATATTTGCTAAAACATCCTGGAGAACTTGAAGTAGAGATACTAAAATATTTTAGTGAAATTTGTAAAAGGGAAAGAAAGGGCTTAGATGATTTTAGTTGTTTTCAAATAGGCAATTTTTGTCTTTGCCTCCAAGCTGCAACATCTCAGAATTCACAATTAATTTTGGAAGTAATGGTCTCACTGAAACTTCACACAGCAAGGGCATTAAACATGTTTTAATATTTTCTGCATTGTGATTTTTTACCACTGGTTCCTTGATATCCATAATTTGCCACAGCAGTCACAATCAATTTATTCGAGGTAATATTTTTAGTTTAATAGTGAAAGAACCAGAAATTCCTGGGGCCTTTTGCTGAGCACTCTCTTGTAGACAATAGCTACATTTAATATAGAACTTCATGTGGAAGTGTCTTGAAGGAAGAAGAGACCTAATTGTCTTGAGAGCCTTGGTTTTTATTTTTCTAAACTCAGAAGACACAAAAGTAACTGTGCACTTAGATATATGTAAGCTGAAGAAATTGCAAAGATACATTTGTATAAATTAAATATTCAAAATCATAAGTTTGAGGTTGAAGATTAATGTTTTTTATAATTCTTAATCTCGAGCAAACACTGAAATGAAAATTGGCTTCTCAATAATTGTATATATTCTATTGAAGGGGTTGTTTTTCTACTGCACTTAATATTGTTCTCTTTATTATTGCTCTAAAATGTCTTTTGTTATGAACATTAAGTACTGAGTAAGTAAGTAAGCAAGCTAATAGGTGTGGCTCCTTCTGGTTTTGAGTTCAGAGCACAGGTCTCAATTGACGCCTTATGTTTTGACATCCAATTTAGCCTTTGGAACCTGATTTTGGTAGTTCCTAATCACCAGTCCACCATTCATTCTAGCCAGTTTCTAGCCAGAGAGGTCACATTGCTCTCTTCTTTCGAATGTAGCATGCCAAGTAAGCCACTAAAACCATTACGTTGGAAGGCAGTCCTACAGATTTATACCCCCAGGACCCAAAAAAAAAAAAAAAAAATTACAGCTCATGAACAACAGCTTCAATTTGTTATTTTCATTCTGCTTGGATGTTCAATTCCCTGATTTAATGTTTTTAGAGTTCTGTTTACTTTTCTCTCTCTGCTGCCCAGACACTTAATGCTATTAATTAGCAATAATGCATATAACCATGCACGTTAAAGACAGATAAATGCCTTCTACCATTTTAATGAGACACAAAAGAAAGACAGACCTATTTATTTAATAGCTGAAAGAGAAAACATTTGTCTGATGGCTATATATAACTTTTGTATCTTGTTAATAATAACAAATTACATAGTTAAAATAGGCTGTGAAAACCAAATGTCTATAGTGAGATGTTTTTATACTAAAAATTCTGTGAAATATTTTTAATTTATTTTGGTTTAGTTCATTAACCACAAACATTTTTCTCTTAATATGCAGCAAGTTGGATTTTTCTTAAGTAGTTTGCTTTACAGTGCTCCAATCAGAATAAAAGGAGGAACATTTAGATTACATTTTCACTTTGTCAAATCTTTCATAGCTAGACAGAATGTACCCTGTTTATCTCATCATTAAATCCTAGTTGCCCAGGCTTAAACATATCTTTCATGATAGGTTTATTAAATTCCTTAATATAATACCTGTCATAATAAAGCTCAATACTAATTTAACTAGGGATTTTGCTTAAAATAACCCTTTGCTTCTGGATGATATATGAGCTATATATATTATAGGTGTTATTTTAACTATTTCTTGTAAACATTAACAATTTCTCAACTTCCTTTTGATTTTTTTCTGTTTAAATTAGTGCCATAACTTGGCTTACATTCTGCTGATTAAGGACGTGCTCAGGGGAAGAAGACTGAAAGGTGAAGAAGATTTGGGACCCATAGAGTTCTAAACACATACTTACCCATATCTGAGCAGAGCAAGTGGAATTATGAATGAGCTGATTGCTGTCTGTCTTTGAGGCACTGTCATATTATTGCTGTTTGAGACACAGGAAAGCATCAGCACCATATCTTGAGAAGAGAATGGTTTGTTGGGAGGCTGAACTTACACAGGTCTTGTACATGGTAGAGACACCACTCAACACTCACTGCTTCTAGGAATTGAGTAATTAGATCATGCTCAGTGAGAATTTGATTCTACCACAAACCTGATGGTAGCCACGCTTGTGCCACCAAGGCATGGCATCACATATGCAAGACGGAAACTTGGCAAAGAATGAGCATGCTTTTCAGCCTGAAGGCACTAGTGTAGTTGTACAGCTTCCTGCTCAACTACTAAGCTGCTTAACCAACAGAAAATTAATGAAAGCTAAGCAGAAGCTACTGCTCTGTCTGGGTTACATTCACTGGTAATGAACTTTCACAGAAAAATAAAAAAGGTTAAAACTCAGCAAACTCATCATTACTTGACTGCTTTTGCCAGGAAAAGTTGCACCTGGTTTTTCAAACCAGGATGCTTCTTAAAGGTTAAAAAGAGTTTTTCTATATCCTCTGAGATTAAAATAATTTCTGTTTCAGCAAGTAATGGCAGGGAGGGAAGGGAGGAATGGTTGGCAGGACAAGGGAGGGTGTAATCCATAGCTGGCAAAGCACAAGCATACCAATAATCCTGAGATACTCAGCAAGATCATACAGCAGACACAAACAGGGCTTGTGCCAGCAGACAGTGGAGGAGGTACCCACATCTCTGGAACAACTCAGAAGCCCAGAATGGCCTGAGAGTCTCCCACTACCAGTGATTAAAAAAGAAAGTAAGAGGAGCAATGCAAAAGGCAGCCAAGAATGGTGGTTAGGCACCACAGCAGGCAGAGAGAGCACAAGAAGGCATGAAGCCCAGTACTAGAAGAGAGCTGTGCAAAGGCAGCCAGCCAAACAAGGAACTCTGCAGAACCCTGCACCTTATCTCCCCTCACTTTATCCCTTTGATTCCAACCAGGCCATGCCTCCCTGCAATACTTAATGATTATTTAACTAGAGAAACCAGCAGCTGTTGCTTTCCCAGGAGAGGAAGAGCATAAGTTTTTACATAGCTGTCTTTCAGGAGTTATAACTCTGCTTATCTACTTTTAAGGGTGTTATCCCTGCAATAAAAAGATGAACATACTTAGGTTATTCTATGTAGTACAATCATAAAACCATAGAAGATGCCAGGTTGGAAGGGATCCATCAGAATAACAGTTCAACTCCTGGCTGTGCACAAGATACCCTGTGCACCAGGTGCACAATCACACCATGTGCCTGAGAACCTTGTCCAAATGTTTCTTGAACTCTGTCAGGCTTGATGCTATTAACACCTGCCTGGGGAGCCTGTTCCAGTGATCCATTACCCTTTGGTTGAAAAACCTCTTCCTGATATCCAACCTAAACCTCCCCTGACTCAGCTTCATGCCATTTCCTCAAGCCTTGTCACTGAGAGAGATCAGAGTTTGCCCCTCTGGTTCACCTCATGAGAATCTTGAAGACTGCAGAGAGGTCTCCCCTCAATTTCCTCCAGACTGAAAAGACCAGGTGACCTCAGCTGCTCCTCATACAGCTTCCCCTCCAGACCCTTCACCACCCTTGTGGCATTTCTTTGGGTGCTTCCTAAGGGTTTAATGTCTTTCTTACATTGTGGTGCCCAAAACTGCCCCAGCACTTGAGGTGAGGCTGCTCCAGTGCAGTGCAGAGCAGAGCAGGACAATCCCCTCCCTTGCCCAGCTGGCCATGCTGTACCTGATGCCCCTCAGGACAGGGTTAGCCACCCTGGCTGCCAGGGCACTGCTGGCTCCTGTTTAGCTTCCCATCGATCAGAACCTCAATAAAAGTCTTCCTGGGTGGTAGGCAGTCACAAAAAATAGCCATGTTCTTAAATAAGATTTCACTGTGATCACTGTGATTTCACACTGAAGCTCTGCCTGCAAACTACAGCTCAGATTTTATACCCTAGAACTTCACGTATATGCTAAAAGTACTTCATGCTGACTCTTATTCATGGGACCGTCTAAATATAGATTATGTCTAATTTTAGCAAAAAACCCTGTGGACTCTGTTCTGCCATGGAGTTTTGCCATCAAGTTGCCTGTGAGCAAAAATGGGTCTGGATAAAAAAGAAGTGGAAGATAATCAGGAAAATGGTAAGCAGACACCTGCAGCTTCCTTAAGCATTTCTCAGCTGCAGTATTTTAGCTCCTTAATTTGGCTTCTTTGCTACCAAGTTCTTTGGCCAAGGGTATTTAATGAGCTTTTACAGGGAACAGACCTCTAACACCCAAGGGAGCTTTTGGGAAGTCACTGGTACTATTAGAGGGAGCAAATGCTGGTTGGAAAATGGGATTTATCTGCTTCAGAATTACTTATTGTTGACTGACTCACAGACCTGGAAAGGTAAAGCAGTAACATTATGAAAAGTGTTCAGTACTGATCTACTCAAGAGAGGACTCCAGTTATTGTCAAAATGCTCTTGAAAGAATTGTCAAACTCAGTTGTTCATAAAAACTTATTTTACTGGTGGTAGCTCTGAGAACAATTCTTCCAGGTATTTGCACACACACAGCACAATTTATACAGATAAGTATAGTTCAGATAGGTAATCAGTATCAGGATATAGAGATGGGTGAGAATAAGGATTTACAGCCTAAAAAAAAGAAGACAACATTTTTTGTGAAACAAAAAGACAAAAAATATTAAAATTTCTTACATATACTTTCATTTGAGATTTTGAAATTTAAAAATATTTCAGTTAAATAATTTTAACTTTTGAAAGCCAAATTGGAAATAAAAACCTGCAAACTTTAAATACAGAAATTGTGGTGAATTTATCCTGGCTGGACACCAGGTGCCCACCAAGCCATTCTCTTTACACTCACTTTACACCTCAGCTGGATAGTGGGAAAAAAACATGAGTAGGGTTGCATGGTTCAAGATAAGGACAGGGTGAGAACACTCACCCACCACTATTATAGGCAAAACCAACTTGACTTGGGGAAATTTGTGTAATTTATTGCCGATCAATTCATAGTAGGATAATGAGAAATTAAATAAATTTTTAAAAACAGTCGGATCTCTGCTCCATCATGAGCCTCCATGACTGCACACGGAGGAGCATTCCTGCCTTACCTTGCTCTGCACCACAGGCTGCAGGGGAATCTCTTCTCAGGCACCTCCCACCCCTCCTTCTGCCCTGACCTCCGTGTCAGCCCAGCTGTTCCTCTCACGTATTCTCACTCCTCTTCCCTACTAGCTGTTGTCCAGCAGTATTTTCCCTTCTTATCCCTTGTTATCCCAGAGGTGCTGCCACCATTGCTGATGGCTCAGCCTCGGTCAGCAGTGAGTCCATCTGGGAGCTGTCTGGAATTGGCTCTGTGGGACATGGGGGAGGCTTCTGGCAGCTTCTCACAGAAGCCACCCCTGTTGCCCTTGTACTAGCAAAGCCTTGACACACAGATCCAGTACACGCTTAAAAATATGACATGGTATACAAATTAAATTCTGCATTTTTTAAAACTAGATGCTGTTTTTCAGTCATGTTTTTCTAAACATTTTATTTTTTTTTGTAACAGGTACTGAAGTTGTCATTAAAAAAGAAAATACCACCTATACTTAAGTAAACCAACCCAATTCAAAGCATGAATTGACTTGTAATGTTTAATATGCTGGGTTACAGAAGACATAAGAATAAGAAATTAATGGACTGATATTTTCATGACTAATTTTCATTTTACATACACATGCTGTTACCAGTGCAGCTGATCATTTGAAATTGCAACAGGTTAGGAAAAAATCAGGCTATTAAGTAGGCTGGATGATAATTCTAGCCACATACTATTGTTAAAAGCTAAACAGAACAATTCACTCAAAAGGTTGTTTATGCTTACTGTGAAAATACTTTTTGCATTATTAAAAAGAGAAGAAATCTGCACCTTATAGTTAGTAATTCTGTCTTTACTTGTTCATGAATAGATAAAAATATTACTTTAGTGAGCAGTGTATTAGTTTCAGAGGGATAATGCAGCTCTGTAAGCACTGGGGATTTGTGATTCTCTTACAAATCAACAGTATTTTTTGGTATAGAAAAGTTACTGCTGTCAGCTGCTGAAAATTGCTATTACACATCAAAGTCACTGGAAACATGGACTTATACACTAGCTGACAGCAGGATCAGAAGATTCAGCTTCAGAACAATTTGAAAGAATCAGAACTGCCTGCATGAAATAGCTACCAAAATAGAGTACAATGTAAACAATACTTTGGCATGAGATGTAACAACCTCCGGAAAAAAAAAATACGTAGAGATGTGTGGATATAATTAGAATCCTTTGAAAAATATCAAGACATACAATGAGAAACACAGTAGTTGAACCAAAATGGAACTTAAAGGCAAAAGTGGATTCTGGGTTAATATCATAGCAACCAAACATCAAAATGACAAGCAGTGAATAGGTCTGTACCATGAAGGCTCCAACACTCAGAACAGTGACTAAGACATGGGAGTCAACTTCCTTTCACACAGTCATCAAATAATTTGCTCTAATACTTGTCTTAACCATGCTCATTATATCTCCTTATGTATTGATTTCCAAGTAAACTAAACTAATAACTCTAATTTGAAATATTTGTATTTTCTAACTCTAATTTCTAAATTTAATTTAATGTATTACTTGCAATGGGTATTTTTTATCTGTCCTTCAGCCCTCATGAATTTTCTCTTGCAGGCCTTGCTGGCACATGAAAATTAACTAATCTTTTCCACTTTTCTGCTACTTGTGGAATTGCACTTTTGTGTGATAGATATTCAATATTAATCTCTTAAAAAAACCCTTCTATTCTGCTTGCATAATTTTAGGCTGCAGGAAACTTTGTCTTCTGGTTTTTATATGTAACAAATGCAGTTAGTTAAACAATTTTTACTTCTGAGCTATCAAGAGAAGGTCCAGGTTAAGTAACTGAGAGATTGCATTAATTCCACCTGAGTTAATGAAGCTGGTGTGTTAGTTAGCAGAAAATTATTATTAATTACTAAGGGTTCATTTCCAAAAGAGAAGAGATTACCTAAAATGGAAACTGGTTATCAATTAAGATGGTTTTCAGTGCTAGTAAACCAACATTGAAGTCCAAGACAGGCATCCAAACCCTTGTTTTCTGGTTTCAGGTATTTTGACAGATCAAAAGTCTGAATGAAGTCCACTGAACCTATAAATATAATATTTTACTTGATCCAATGCCATTTAATTCTGAAGTATTGCAGGCTTAAATGACATTGGATGAAGTAATTCCTATTTCAATGGATTCCTGAGCTGGTGCTGAACTTTATGAAGTGAATGTCTGGGATTTTTTTCCTTCAAATCCCCTGCTGTGTAGGTACTTTTCACAGCCGCAAGTGCATTAGCTTCAGTACAC